TGATCTTGGAAAGCCATATGCAAAAAGGGCACCTGTTGATTGGGATCTTTGCAGGTCACCCGTGGCATTGCGCACTTGGCATCTGTGTGGGTTGTGCAACACCAGTCCTTAGTCCTTGTGCCAGTTGGTTGTGTCTTTGTTCTTTTGTTGTAGTGGTGTCTGATGGTTACGGATTAGGATGCGTCCGCCTCATCTTGAACAGGATTTATGATTTGCAGGTCTGGTGCTGTTGTTCGACAAGAAGGGCCGCGGCTTCGTCAGCTTTGATGCCCTTGTGAATGGCCTTGTGAGCATGCTCCCTGGCGGATCACGCGGGGCGAGTGCTTTTTCCTTTGCAAAACGGAGGGTGCTGGAAGATCATTTTCCTACAAAAAGGGGTCTCCGGTGGGTTTCATATCAGTAAGTTGGTTGGAGGGTATTGGCGAATGTTCACCCAGAACTCCGGGCCTGTTGTCAATGTGGTCGCGCGATGCGCGCAAGGCTGGATGATATTGAGGAGAAGGCCAGGGCGCTAAGGCTTTGTGCTTTGCGGCAGAGGCCCAAGTGACCATTTTTGAGGTCCCCAAAAGCCAAATGCTTCGAAACAGTCTAGTTTCAACTAGAAGCTCTAGGAAGTTGGGGCTTCCCCTTGGCAAAAGTCGCAAGCGCCCTGGAGATTTTACAGCTGCCCGTTTGACAGGGTTGTTTTTCTATTTGCTGGGAAAGGCAGTGATACACATCCATGGCCCTTCAAAGGCTTCTCCAACCCCTCGATTTCCTCCGAGCCAACTGAGCGGAAGGACATGTTCCTCATGAGCATCTGGAGCGAGGGCCTGATCCTGAAGGCGGGGGCGGCGGAGCAGAGGTGCGAGAGGCTCTGCCGTGGGGTGCAGAACTTGCGGTTCCAGCTGGAGCACATGCGCCTCTGCTGGGTCTGGGTGTCTGTGGTCGGTTTGAAAATGGTTGGCTTGCCCCCTCTCTGCGGTTGTGAGGAGATGTAAACCTCATCACCGTTCCAACGCCCATTTTGAAGAACGACCGCCGTCTCAGGCTTTGCAAGACAGGGTTCAGTTTTGGCCAGCCACAATGCCACAAGGTAAATCTTTCATTTCAGTCCCTTCGGACAAATGAAGGCTCCTTTGCAAGGGTCTGTCGTCAGAAATTGAAGCTTTCACTCTCTCAATTACCCACTTGCTTTCTCTGTTTTCCCATCAAGGGCCTCCACTATTTGTGCTTCTAGCATCTTCTAGCATCTTCTAGCATGTTGGCACGCATGCACGCGCACGCACTCACATGTGCATTTGGATTTGCATACGTATGTGCATAAGTTCATATACATACATGTAAATATATCATATATACTCACATATGCATATATATATATGTATATATCCTATGTACTGGCAGCTGAAGGAATGCCAGCTGGCGGCAGTTCTTTGCGAGCAGGGAGGCGACCACGCGCCACTACCGGGCCATGAAGCATATCCGCACCGCGCCGCCGCCCATGCCGGTGTCCATCTACCAAATCTTGAACATCAAAGTCAAGGAGCCGGTGGTTGAAGAATTCGGCCTCTCACGAAACACATGTGGATCGTTGAGGTCGCCTGCGTGTGGCGAGTTAGGGGCCACCGGGAAAAGGGTTCAATCAAGAACGCCCTCAACATGGTTGATGGACATACACTCCCATGTGAATGATGTCCGGCCTCGGTCATCATCAAATGGACATGCAAGATTCCGGCTGACATGCATTTGTTTGTGTTTGTTGAGCCCTAGACCTTTTTTAGGTTGGTGTAAAGGGCACCCCAAAGAACCAAAACAGGGTCCAAATCCTTTCTTTGACAGCTACCGATTTGCCCAGTCAGGAGGAGATCCCCGAGGACGAGTCGGAAGCCTTCATTTCCTTTGCGCGCCGCTACGTTGGCTTCAGCTCCCGCAATGCCCAGGCGGGTTGGGACGGGGCGATTCGCCCCTTTATGTCGAAGCCATTGTTTAAACAACCTTTCAAGGGGAGGTTTTCCTTTCCAAGAACATACGCTAGACAAAATTGTCTTACGCTAGGAACCAGACTTGAAACGAGCTCGCCAAATGGCTGTCTCAGTCGAATTGCAGACATCTGAATTGCACTAGAAGCAGTGCAAACGGAGTGTCCATGCTGAACATATTCCATCCCGCGCAAGGTCCGTTCTAGAAGTACCAGCCAGGACCTACTAGAACTGCATTAGACACGTGCTGTGCAAACAAATGCAAATGCAAACGGAACACTGGCAAACGGGTCAGATCTGAAAGGAGAGGACACCAACCCCTTGGTGTGTGTCGTTCCTGCAGCCCCTATTCGTTTCCACCTAACCTGGTTTCTAGCACAGCCCAACCGCTGCAAAGGATTTGTAAGGACCTGGCCAGTGTCACTGGCATTCTTAAGTGGGACATGTGGCTTACATGAGCAGTCACGTTTTGTTTCTGTCAGGTTCTGTGTCGCCCGCAGCCCTTAAGGGGCAAACCGCTGTCAATGTAGCTACACGCCCATGGCAGCTTATGAGGGTGGCTGTTTCTTTAAAGTAAACCTAAGTCTGGTGCTTTCTTCTTTCTAGAGTTTCTGGGCGGGGACTTTTTTGAGCACCATCTTATCAGGGACCTTTTCGGGCAACAAGCGGACTTTTTTTTGGGCAACGGGCTTTTCAGCCCAATTGAGGAACAGCGACTCTGACTTTCGTTGAGGGTCCGGCAGTCGCTCGAGGTCCTTCGCAGCCTTGGCTTGGGAAGCGTTCGGCAAAGGCATGGTTGTGGTTTTCATTGGGAAGAAACTTTGGATAGACGGTCAGTGACACTCAAATTCTTAGTTGGCTAGCGTTGTGTTGGGGGTGGCGGGGATGCCGAGAGTCTCAAATTCTTAACCAACAGATTATGCGTGAAGTATATGTCCGGCATAGACGCATGGTGGGAGCAGTCTAAGGCAGTTTTAAGCTTCAACGTGTGCCTGGTTACCTTTGCAGTTTGGGGATTGACGAACAATGTCCACGTTGAGGTTGTTAAAGTGATGGCTTAATGGCGCAAAGAATGGTACCACCGGAAGCCAAGTCAACAAGCCAAAGGAGAGCAAAAGCAAATCCACAGGAATCCACTCGTTTTTAAGGGGTTGACATCCATATCCCATTTGTGGAAGTACATAGGCATTTCAGCATGCACCCCGGATCCATTCACTCGCATGTTCAAAAACTGTGGGTTTGCAGAATCCTGCACCAGTTTGTCTATCATGATGGATTTTGTCCACTCACAATTAAAACCGGTTCCGCAGGTGGAGGACCCGCCGCCGCCGACCGGGGCGGTGGATGTGGCCAAGGCCCTTGTCAGCCGCAAGTCGGTGCTGCCGCCCGCGCCGCTGCCCTCCAAGACGCCCGAAATGCGAAATTCACTTCACCGGGGCAATGGGGGGCAGCAGGTTTGTGGTCTGTGGATGCACGGTTTGGCTCTGAGTTTAAGAGGCTCGAAAACCAGCTTGTAAAGACTCCAACAAATACTGATGTTCACAGGGTCCCCTGTTGGAAGCAGAGGTTGGTGGAGTGAATCCCCGCCGATATCCCCGCCGTTAAATTCACTCATTTGTAGCACGCCATAGAAGGTGATCCATTCGTTACTGGCGCAATTGCACCCCAAAAATGATTGCACGGCGTGCATGAAACGTGGATTGGCCAAACCAATGGCGCTCAATGAGCGTGCCAATCGGAAAACTGTTTCGTCCCCCAAGCTAAGGTGTAGGTTTCCAATTGGGGTTCGTGTATTGGCCCAGCTAGCTGGGCCCTCTTTTTCCCCAAGTAATGTTTACACTAAGAGGTTCTTCGGTAAAAGTTGCAAAAGTTGGGTTAAATCCCGCGCTGCCATGGAGCAGGGTTGTTAGTAGCTCACTAGAAACATGCCTGGTCCACCCTGAAGGGTGTAGATTGGGGCCCTTTCTCGGACGTCATTTGCAGGATGTATTCCCAGAAACATGTTTTGCCTTTGTGGCCCTCCTGAAAAATAGAGTCAAGTCAGTTTTGCCAACACCGGGCATGGTCCTTTGTTGGCCAGATTGGAAACAATTATTGTCCTGAAAAGCGAAGATTTTCAACTCTTGGATCCTTGGTGTTTGTTGAGGGTACCCTTGTCACCCTGGCTTGAGGGTAAACCACAAGGAAGGCCACAACTCTCGGGTCCCCTATTTTGACACATGCCCGTTTTGGTTTGGACTACGGACCAAGGATGCAAAAGGCGCTGTACATGAGGGACGAAATCACCCGCAAAGCCCACGACACTCGGTACGACATCGACGGGAGGACGGGCGCGGCCTCGAAACGATTCAAGGAGCTGCAAGAGACCTTGCGTGTGGACCCGGAGCTCTTGGAATGACAGGGCCCTTTGAAGTCTCCAAACTAATCTTGGGGCTGGAACCCGGGTTTTTGATGTCACTTTACTGGACCCAGACCGATGGAGGTGTTGGAACTAATGGGGGTGCAAAAACTGGAAAAGAAGCAGACACCAGTAGGGCCCGTGAGGGCCCCCCCACTCGTCTCACACTGCACGGCTGCAACACTCGCAGCAGCCTCGAACCCGTCTCGGAAATGGAAGGAGCAGTTGAATAGCGCGCCAATTACGTGTTTGAGCGTTGTTGAAGCAGCCTTTTGAACATCATGGGTTTGTCCCTCTTAGATGGTGCAATTGTTGGTTGGGAGCGTAGTTGCAAATGTCTCCGCCCAGATCCTGTGACTTTTGGGGCATACATATGCTTAGCCGCCCCGCGTCTCGGCCCAAAGCTCGGCCCTGAGAGTTTCTTCCGAAAGGGGCCCCCGGCCCTTGACTGGACTCGCGGATTCATCATGCGGTGTGTCGGGAAAAGGGTTTCCAAAAGCTGCTTTTGGATTTGAGTTTTGGTGAAAATCCGGCAGACTTTTCAATTTTGGGCGGACATGGAGGAAAAGACCAGGGGTCGCCACCCCACGTGCGGCCCTGTGCGCTGTTTCTTTCCTTTCGCATGGTTGCCTCTGCGCCAGGTGCTCTACTTGTTATCCCTGTGGCCCAGAGCTCACCAGAGAGTTTCCCAAAGGGGGGCCCAAGAATGGCTTGTTTCTTTTGTGCCTGGGTCGTTTCCTTTGTGGCTTCCGCCCAAGGGGTGCCACCAGCGACATCGCGACATGAGGTCAACAGCCTGGCGGGGGTCTTGGGGTGGCGCCTCGCGCAGGGGCCCGAGATTCTCCGAAGGCAGCTGGGGCTCCCGTTTTCACCCTGGATTCTATCTTGTGGATTTCTTGAGATGCGTATCGGAAAAAAAGACAAAAACAGTGGCGGATCCCCTTAGTCTATCAGTCAACCTGTTATGTATCAGTAGTCGTTTTCCACACAATTCAAGACAACGCACTTGGGAGCGAGGGGAGGGGCTGGAGTCTGGAGACCAAATTTTCCTACACGCACCTGTGACGAGGAGGTTGTTCTCAAGACAAAACCTGGCTCTCTAGTGCAAGAGGCGAGTTTGGCAAGCGACATCGAGCAACCCTTCAAGCATTGGCTGAAGCCAAAGAGCTTCCTAAGGGAGACACTGGGACGGCTAGGAAGAATTGAACTTAAATTCAGGACTCCGTAATTAATTAGCATACTTCCCTCATCCTTTTAAGGGCAACCAAAACCTGAAATCGCTCCCTGAGACTTCCCCCGAAGAGGCTTTCTGAGCTATGAATTTCGCCCCCACATGTCCTTCTTTCCCGGTGATTGGCCTAAAAAACAGCCAGACAGCCCACGGCGTAGAGGCATCCACACGTCCTGCCTTCGCGAGAAGACCATGTTGGTGGCTCGAAACCAACTGCTTCTCACCACTGCTCCCAAAGCATGGCAGCATCCTGCGGACTTCGACCCATTCAGAGCCATTCAAGTTGTAAATAGCTTTAGGCCCGTTTAGGGGACACTTACACCAAAACGGTGGCCAGGGCTCAGTGGGGTTCCTTCCGAGGTACCAGCTCGTTGGGGCCGCAAGCTGCGACCCCGGATACAAGCCTGTAGGCCGTATGTGGAGAGTGTGTAGTGGTGGGTGGTGGGCACTTGGGGAAGTATGCTGTAGCGGAAATATGTTGTAGGCTTGTAACGCTATGGCCCGCCAACTGTAACTTCAGGGGTTGTTGTATTTGCCTAGGAACTCTCGTTGGTGCTTGTTTGGGTGTCTCGGTGGGGCCGCGTCACGACCTAGTATGGCTCCTGGCGCCATATTTGCTATGTTTCTTGCGTGGTTTGCCGTGTGCCATTCAGATTTGTTGCTTGTTCGTCCTCTTCACCGAGTGCGCGCCGCCTGGAGGCACACAAGGGCACTCAAGGTTTGACATTTGCCATAGGCCCCTGGCATTTCAGGGTGCCATCCTGAAGCTGGCTAGCTCGAGCCACCAAGTCGCCGAGTCAGCAAGTCACCGAGGCGTGGCCTTTGTTGGACTGTGGCAGCTCTTGGCTGCAGAGGAGCCAAGTAGGCCCGGGCGCTCTGAAGGCGTGCCACGTACGGGCATCTAGAATACCTCGGCAACCTACAGCACTTGAGGCACCTTGCACAGGGCAGGCAGTGCGTCTAGCAAAAGGTTGCAGAGCGGGGGAATCATTTTGAAGGGATTTGCTCCCTGCGGCTGGTGCAGCGCGCCTCAAATGGGTTTCGGCTCCAAGCGGCGATGGCCGTGTTATGCTGGGCGCGATGGCGGGTTGCAGCTGGGGCCGTGTCCATGGGGACAGCCGGGCATGGCGGAGCTTTCGGAGGTGCGACGAATTTGTGCAGTGAGCATATACTGCAAAGGGCGGACCTTCGAATTAGTTTTCTGAGCTTCCGCCTGGTGAGCGTGCAGGTCCCTCCCGCCAATCGCTCTGGGCTTTTGGCTCATGCCAAAGCCCAGGGAGTCAAGCCCGGCCATTGAGTTTGTATTTTTTGCCAAGATCAAAATGAAGGTTATCATCAGCCCGCACTATCACCATTGTCATGGTTGATGAAACATGCGTTGCAGTGCCACTTTATGCACTACCAAGTCATAACGTGGTCACGTGTATCAGAGCGCCTCTTTGGCATCACCATGAGCCCCTTTAGAGTAAGTAGAGGAACCTCTTTATAGAGGCCCCTCCCAAACGGTCCTCAAAACTTTTGGGTTTAAGAGGTTTTCTGTTTTTCTTCCGGTATGGGGGTGGCGCCCCGGAGGCCTGCATCCAGGCCTGTGACCCAGATCCCGACGTGGCCCTCAAAGCGCTGAGGGCGCTTGCCACGGACACCGGAGCGTTGGCCGGGCCGAGCTTCGACCAGGTGCCTGGGGTGTGTTTCGAGATCCGGGCGGGAGGGGGGTTTCATTCTTGGACTGCCGGGATTACCGCATCCTTGGTATGAACAAAACTTGTGCAACAGGCAGTGCGTGGGCAATTGACTAATGCTGAGAAGCGGCCCTGCCGAAAATCTTTCTTTAACGGGTTTCGGGTAGTCTCTTTTAGTGACTGTATGACTCAAACAGGAGGTTCTAGGGACAGCTGGTCTTTGCTTCGGGCTTCCCACGCGCGAAGCCAAGTAATTAGGTCGTGCCACTTTGAGCAGGCCCCCAGTTTGCGCGAAGGTCAATTTGTCAATTTCCAACACGTTTGCCAGCATTAGCCTGGCTTCCAAACCTAAAACTTGCGGACTTAGATTGACCTTCTTGTTACAACAAAAATGAACGTAACAAAGCGCCCCATCCATGCGGTCCTCGGGTTCCGACCAGACTCGGCCGTCAGGTGCTGGCGGCGGCGCTGCTGCGCCTGGCTGAGCGCCCACCCAGCTGGCGGTTGGTTGAGCCCTCGCTGCAGCTGGCCCAGCGGCTGTTAGAGCGCACGGGCGACCAACTGCCCACTGCCAAGGTAGGGGGAATAAATGACCGCAGGAACGATGCCCCTTTAAAATGCGTGCGTGTTTGTGTGTATGTATGTATGTATGTATGTCTGTTTGTTTGTTTGCTCGCTTGCTTGTTTGTTTGTTTGTTTGTTTGTTTGTTTGTCTGCTTGCTCGCTTGCTTGCTTGTTTGTTTGTTTGTTTGCTTATTTGTTTGTTTGCTTGCTTGTTTGTTTGCTTACTCGTTTGTTTGTTTTCTTTTTGCTTGTGTTTGGTTGCCTGTTTGCTTGTTTGATTGTCTATGTTTTTGCCTGTTTGCTTGTTTGCTTGCTTGTTTGTTTGTTTGTTTGTTTGTTTGTTTGTTTGTTTGTTTGCTTGTTTGCTTGTTTGTTGGTTTGTTTGTTTGTGTGTTTGTGCGTTTGTTTGTTTGTTTGCTTGTTTGTTTGTTTGTTTGTTTGTTTGTTTGCTCGCTTCTTTGTTTGTTTGTTTGTTTGTTTGCTTTTTGTTTGTGTTTGGTTTGATGGGTTTTTTTGCTTGTTTGTTTGCTTGTTTGTTTGTTTGTTTGCTTGTTTGTTTGTTTGTTTGTTTGCTTGTTTGTTTGTTTGTTTGTTTGTTTGTGTGTTTGATTGTTGGTTTGTCGTGTTGTTTGTTTGTTTGCTTGCTCGTTTGCTTGTTTTGTTTTTGTTTGTGTGTTTGGTTGCCTGTTTGCTTGTTTGTTTGTCTATGTTTTTGTCTGTTTGTTTGTTTGTTTGTTTGCTTGCTTGTTTGTTTGCTTGTTTGCTTGTTTGTTTGTTTGTTTGTTTGTTGGTTTGTTTGTTTGTTTGTTTGATTGTTCGTTTGTTTGTTTGCTCGTTTGTGTTTGCTTGTTTGTTTGTCTGTTTGTCTATTTGTTTGTTTGTTTTGTGTTTGTTTGTTTGTGTTGTTGTATGTTTGTTTGCGTGTTTTTTGTTTTGTTTGTTTGTTTGCTTGTTTGTTTGTTTGCTCGCTTGCTTGCTATTTGTGTGTTTGTTTGTGTGTTTGTTTGTTTGTTTGTTTGTTTGTTTGTTTGTTTGTTTGTTTGCTTGTTTGTTTGTTTGCTTGCTTGCTTGTTTGTTTGTTTGTTTGTTTGTTTGCTTGTGTGATTTTTTGTTTGCTTGTGTGATTTTTTGTTTATGTGTTTGTGTGTTTGCGTGTTTGTTTGTTTGCTTGCTTGCTTGGATGGTTGGTTGGTTGGTTGGTTCTTTGGGTTGGTTTGGGTTCTTTGGGTTGGTTTGGGTTGGTTGGTTTTGTTTGTTTGTTTGCTTTCTTGCTTGTTGTGTTGCGTATGTGTGCGTAGGTTTTTCCCGAATGGAATGCGTAGCAGAAGGGCTCCCGTTTGGAGGTCGGGGGTCTGGGGGTTAGGACGTGCCCTCAAGTGACCGCAAGCGTCCGCAAGCGTCCGAATGTGTCCGTGAATGTCGCGGTCGCCGCTCCAGTGGGGAAAGCGAAAAACGTGCCATTTAGATGACTTGAAGCGTGTCATTTTTCGTGCCCCTGTGCGGGAATCGTAGCTCTTAACATGTCAGACGCTGTTTTGCTGCGCAGGCGCAGTGTTCTGTGAAGCTTCACGCTTGCGTTGCAATCCATTGTGATTCGTGTTTCGGGGGTTGTCGGTTTGAGGTGTTTTGCTTGGAACACGCGCGCAAGCGTTTCCTCGAATGTCGCTTTCGCTGGCCCTGTCGTACAATCGGCTCGTTTTCACGACTGCAGATTTGCGACAAATCGGTCGATATCATTCTGGCGCTACAGTCCCGCGCCAGTTTTCCGCGTGCGATGCGAGAGTGTCAAATTCTGATTTAGCGGCAGGCGCAGCATTTTGAGCGTTTTTGCATGTCGCTGTAACATGATTTTCGTGACAGGCGCAGCACTTTAGTGCTTTTCGTGCAGATTTCGTGGCAGGCGCAGCACTTTAGCAGATTTCGTGGCAGGCGCAGCACCTTCCAGCTTGCGTGCAGATTTCGTGGCAGGCGCAGCACTTTCGTTGGGTCTCGCTCTCGCTGTGGCGCGGTGCACATTTGGAGATTGCAAAGTGAACCCTCTGCGTGCTTTGGGTGGGTCGAAGCGCTCTCGCTGTGGCGCTTTGCACATTTTCAGCACGCAAAGTGAACCCTCTGCGCGCATTTGTGTGGGTCGAATCGCTCTCGCTGAGGCGCGGCTCACATTTTGAGATTGCAAAGTGCACCCTCTGCGCACTTTGGGCGGGTCGGGTCGCTCTCGCCGTAGTGCGCATTTTGAGATCGCAAAAGTGAACCCTCTGCGCACTTTGGGTGGGTCGAGTCGATCTCGCTGTGGCGCGGTGCGCATATTGAGATCGCACAGTGACCCGGGCTGAGTCGCTTTCGCCGTGGCGCGGAGCACATTTTGAGTTTGCGAGGTTGTACGAGGGGTGCGACACGAAACGCGAGTAGGGTCGTGGCTACAGACACGAGAAAGACCACGAAAGGCAGGACGGGAGATGTGACGGAGTCGTGACGTGAGGCGCGTCGAGACACATGATGAGAGATGTGTTGAAAGTGATGACGAGAGACGGGGCCATAGTTGTTACGACAGACGTGACAAAGGACATGACCAAACACGTGACAACAGGCGTGACCGGAGGTGTGACGAGGCGCGTGAAAAGAAACCGTGACGAGAGACGTAACAAGAGATGCGACAAGATCCGTGGCGAGGATCGTGACGCGAGAGGTTACCAGAGACGGGATGGCAAATAGGAGAAGAGACGTTTGAGAAGAGACGTGGCGAGGGTCGTGACAAGAGACGTGACGCGAGGGGTGACGACGCACGCAACAGAAGACGCGACGGGAGATGCTACGTAGCTGTGACGAGAGGCGCGTCGAGAGCCGAGACACGTGATGAAAGATAAGATGAAAGTCATGACGAGAAAAGTGGCCAGAGTTGTTACGACAGACGTGACAAAGGACGTGACCAAAGACGAGACCAGAGGCGTGACGATGCATGTGATGGATGTGACAAGAGACGTGCGAGGAGAGTCGCGACGAGATGCCAGAAAAGGCGTGACCAGAGACGTGACGAGAGATGCGACAAGAGACGTGACGAGGATCGTGGCGCGAGAGGTTATCAGAGACGGGACGGCAGATATGACAAGAGATGTGTGAGAAAAGACGTGGCGAGGGTCTGAGCAGAGACGTGACCAGAGACGTGACGCGAGGGGCGACGACGCACGTGACAGGAGACATCTCCAAGAAAGATGTGACGGGAGATGCTAGACGTAGTCGCGACGAGAGGCGCGTCGAGACACGTGATGAAAGATTGATGAAGGTCATGACGAGAGACGTGGCCAGAGTTGCTACAAGAGACCTGTCAAGGGACGTGACGAAAAGCGTGGCTAGCTACGTGACGATTGATGTGACAAGAAACGTTGTTACGTGAGACGCGACAAAGGACGTGACCAAAGACGTGACTAAGAAACGTGGCCAAGGAAAAAACGAGGGACGTGACAAGAGACGCTGTTACGAGAAACCTGACAAGGGTCGTGGCCAGAGACGTGACTTGAGACGCCGCCAGAGACGTGACTATACACAAAAAATTAGGAATAGCCAGAAACTCTGCGTGGCGACGTGGCTGGAGACATGAGAAAGACCACGAAAGACAGGACGGGAGATGTGACGGAGTCGTGGCGTGAGGCGCGTCGAGACACATGATGAGAGATGTGTTGAAAGTGATGACGAGAGACGAGACGAGAGTTGTTACGACAAACGTGACGAAGGACGTGACCAAAGACGTGACAACAGGCGTGACCAGAGGCGTGACGATGGATGTGACAAGAGGAGAGCCGTGACGAGAGACGTGACGAGAGATGCGACAAGAGACGTGACGAGGGTCATGACGCGAGAGGTTACCAGAACGGGACGGCAAATATGACAAGAGACGTTTGAGAAGAGACGTTGTGAGGGTCGTGACAAGAGACGTGACCAGAGACGTGACGCGAGGGGTGACGACGCATGCGACAAGATCTCCAAGAAAGACGCGACGGGAGATGCTACGTAGTCGTGACGAGAGGCGCGTCGAGACACGTGATGAAAGATAGGATGAAAGTCACGACGAGAAAAGTGGCCAGAGTTGATACGACAGACGTGACAAAGGACGTGACCAAAGACGTGACCAGAGGCGTGGCGTTGCGTGTGATGGATGTGACAAGAGACGTGCGAGGAGAGTCGCGACGAGACGCGAGACAAGGCGTGACCAGAGACGTGACGAGAGATGCGACAAGAGAGGTGACGAGGATCGTGACGCGAGAGGTTGTGCCAGAGACAGGACAGCAAATGTGACAAGAGACGTTTGAGAAGAGACGTGGCGAGGGTCTAAGCAGAGACGTGACCAGAGACGTGGCGCGAGGGGCGACGACGCACGTGACAGGAGACGTCTACGTAGTCGCGACGAGAGGCGCTACTTGAGACGCCACCAGAGACGTGACTATACACAAGAAAGAGGAATAGCCAGATACACTACGTGGGGAATAATGTCATAAGAGATGTGAGGAGAGACGTGACGAGATTGGACCAGAGACGTGACGAGAGATGTGACAAGAGACGTGACGCGAGCGCCGACGACTCATGCGTGACAAGCGACGTGACGAGAGTCGCCAAGAAAGACGCGGCGGGAAACGCGCCGGAGTCGTGACACACGACAGGCGCGGCGAGACACGTGACAAAGGAACAGACTCAAGGGGTGACGACTCACATGACAAGAGACATGACGGGAGTCGCCAAGAAAGACGGCGGCGAGACACATGATGAAAGGTTGACGAAAGTCATGACTAGAGACGTTGCCAGAGTTGCTACGAGAGACGTGACAAATGACGTGACCAAAGGCGTGACTAGAGTAGTGACCAGAGACGTGACTATAGAAACGTGACTAGAGTCGCGACGCGAGATGTGACAAGAGTCCGCCTTCGTGTCCGCATTCGGGTTCGTGGCTTCTATCAGGTTTTCCTCAGCATGCCTAGACGTCATGAATTCTCGAAAAGACTCACTGCACTCAAAACGGTTTAAGCAAAAACCCGATGAGCATGTCTGTCAGAGTTGGAAGGTTGAGCTCATAGCTCGCACCGCTTCGCAAAGTTGCCGCAGGACAGCCCAAAAGTCTTAGACTTTCTCTGCAATGCCAAGGCTGGCCCCCTGTCAAGGGCGAACCCGTTACAACCGGGCGATGCAACATCGGTTTTCACAAATTGAGCCACACAAACACAAACATTGAGTCACACCTTTCGTTGACACAGCGATCCCAGACGCAAGAGATCGGGGGTTCGACCCTGCAAGGCCCAGAGTGTGTTCCCTTTGGTGTGCGAGCGCTTGTCTGGGCTACTGGAGGCGCCTTATCGTGAGCTAAAATGACCCGCTTGTATTTCACACTCGGGGTTTCGGCCAGGTTGGGCAAACCTTTCAGCCGTGCAACCCAAAGGATACTTGTTGCCTCAACACTTCTTCTAACTCGCTACATGGGATTTCTGGTGAAGCCAATGCATACTTTTGCGACCATGTTACATTGGCAGAATCACAACTCAATGGGCTTTGAGCGCTGCCCAAGTGAGCCGCACTCAAACCTAAGTAGCAGCCAATCAGACAAGGCCGCCCCTGTTTTGGGTATGCCCCTGTAGTACCAGGTTTTGACGGTGACTCAAACAGAGTTCGTTAAATTGTCATCTACATTAGCCTGCAACTGGTGGTTCAAAAGGGAGCCACTCCCAAAGGTAGTTTTGATCATCCTGAAATGCAACCACTTTCAGGGGCCCAGTTTTGGGGTCCCTTCACCACGCTTTGATGTGAGGTGCTGGTCAGCCCTACTTGCAAGAGCGCGGCTCAAGAGGAGGTGCTGTGTGCGGCCTTGTGCACCGCAGGGGTGCTGCTGAGGAGGTGGTATGTGTGCACCGTGCAGGGGGAGCTGTCCAAAATGCAGGTGCTTTCAAAGACTGCGTCTAGAGGTAACAGTTGGAGGGGCCCGGGTGATTTTGAGGATGCCACAATAATGGACTGAGGGCCAAAAGCATCCCGGTGAGAAAGAAGCCATGGGAATCAGCCACTTACTTTTTTCATAGAGAGGACCGGCCTTTTCCATACTTCCCACAAATTAACATAGAACCCCAAAAAGGGGAGGTCCCGCAAAAGGAGTTTCCTCTAAGAATGGTGTTTTTTTGGGTAACGGTTCCATGTTCATTTGTAGGAGGGTAACCATGGTGTCAGGTGGGCTTCCTGGCGCACTTGGCCGTGTGCGTCCTTAGCTCTGAGGCCCTCCGCGTGCAGGTGCTGGCTCTGAACCTGCTGCAGGCCATTGCGGAGGCTTGGAAAGAAGGACAAACACGGGCCCGACAAACGAAGATGAAGGCCTATATCAAGGCCCAAAATGGCTAGACGTGTCGGAAGTGGCCCCCAAACAATCTGTACATCAGAGGGCAGGGGCTTTGACAGGTGGAGGTTTGCCCAGAGACCTTGGCGCGCTACTTTCCCGGAGTGTGCACCGCGCTGGCAAAGCTCCTTCTGAAGAAGGAAGGGTGACGTACATCACACATGTTGGTCGTACTCAAAGTCGGGCGCCCTTGGACACTTTTTTTTTCAGGCAGCGGAAGACTTTTGAGCTTCTCACAGCCAACTTCAAGGGGAAGGGGGGGGAGCTGTTGCTGGGCAGGGTGGATGCTGTTGGAGAGTGAGAGGGATTTGACTGAGGGTTGCGCAAGGTGCTGTTGTAGGGTGCTGATGCAAGGTGCTGCTGTGGCATGTGACTGAGAGTTGCTCACTGCTGTCCGTGGGTGCCGTTGCGCAGGGGTGCTGTTGTGGGGCGCTGTGGGATGGCGCTGCGTGTGTGGAGTGTTCTGTTGTTCAGGGTGCTGTCACGCTCAAGGTTGTTCTCCCGCAATGCGTGTGTCTTGCATTCACATTGGCATTCGTTGTCAAGCACCGTCGTTTTGAAGCCCGAATGCAAGACAAAGTCAATCAAAATGATTTGTCTGACGGCTTGGAGGAGATTACCCTTGGTCGGGGCGGGGGGGGCCTGTGAACCAGGCACCGGTGAACTAAGATACGAACGACCTCCTTTCCGCAGGGCTCTAGAAGCAAAGCTTCACCCGGTGGCAAAGTAATGGCCCATTGAATGGTTTGGGAACCCAAAGTTTTGGGTTTTACACACGTCCACAGGTAGGACAACAGGTTCAAAACACCACATCTCTGAAAGGAGGAGGTAAGGGCACACTCCGAACAATCAGTGGACACCCCAGGCTGTGGACACCAATGCAACCTCCTTAAACGGGACAAAGTGGCCCTAGGTAGGGACAGGAATCCACCGTTGCTGCTATAAAAAGAGGCAGTTTCCCTGAAGACATGGAAACGGGGCTTTGAACAACTGCCCCTTCCATGATTGTTGGAGGAAAGATTGCGACCAAGATGAATCAACCACTGGAAGATTACAGGAAGTGGGGGGACGTCCAGTTGAAGACGGGATTACCGTTTCGGCGGAAAGGAGCGCCCCCTAATAGCCCACCAGATGGATCCATGACCAGTATGCCATCATGCCTCCTCGACATGTTTTGTCTTCTTGTTTTTGTGTTTGGTCAGGGGGGGTAAGGAACGCCCCGCGAGTAATTACTCTTGGGGCGGGGGGGGGAAAAGCGAAGGAAACGCTGTTGGACTTTCGGATCCACACTTCTGCAGGACGCCCAGGCGCGCTCCAAGGCGGTGGTGGCCGGCGCCAGCTCGCTGGGCGCCTGGGCGAGCGCCGTGTTGGCAGAGGCGCGGGTCTCGGAGACGCAGCTGGCGGCGCTGGAGCGGCGGCGGAACCAGGCGCCACGGAGCCTGGCGGAGGCCCAGGGCTCAAGACGTGGGTGTGGTGGGCTGCGATACGCGTATCTTTGTGTTGTGTGTGGGTGGTTTTGGGTTTTGCCTCTTTTGTACATGTTTTGAGGTATTTGTTTCAGGATTTGGGGTTGCGAAATAGCTAAGTGTCCAGGGCGGGAGTTTCACGAACCGTATAATTCCCAACTGTCCACATTTGGGGATCCCGTATTTCTCTCATTGGGAATGTTCATGCGCTCTGCAGAAATGGGGGGGAGAGAAGAATCACCGACTGGAACATGTTTGAGCCAACTGGTCGCCCAAAAGCGCAGGTTTTTGCGCTCAGCTCGGCCAACGCCGCGGCTATCACAAAGGGGCAGGACAGAGGGGAGGAGGAGTGGCTGGAGGAGACGAGCCAACGCACCTCAGAGGTTTTGGTGGCTGTTTTGCAGACTGCTGCAGGCAGCCTCTGGTCAGAGAAGGTCTCCGTGCGCCAGGCGTTCTTGGATCTGAGCATCCAAGTTCTCCAAGAGTGTGGCAGGTGCCTCACCAGCGGTGCCACGGAAGCCTGCTTCGAGGTGGTTTTTGCGGCCTTGTCGGACACAGCTCAGGGCCCACAGCAAGAGGCGAAGGACTTCCTGCAGGAGCTTATGTCGAGGTCAGGCGTGGAGCGGCATCGTGCGTTTGGCCACCTGGACGAATGGCTGGTCCGACTGGCCCAGGCCTTTGCCCCCACTCCGCGCCGCATGGATGCCGCGTCGGTCGCCAAGCGCCTGGCTCGCTTGGACGGCTTGCTTCAGGTCCTTGGGGAGTCCCAGTTGGAGCTGTCGATGTCCGTGAAGCTGACGCGGTCGGTCTTCAACGCCTGCGCCCTGACCGCCGAAAACCTGCGCCAGCTGCTTTTGGACAGGAGGAGTTGGGCCTCCATGCCAGGCACTGTGCTGAGCCAGGCGGAGTTCGTGAGCTTGTTCCCATACGAAGCAGGTGATTGCGAGGAGGACTCGGTCTCTGACTGGATGAAACCGATCAACAAGGGATTGACGGAGTTGCCGGATGTGGTGCAGACGAACCTGTGGCTGCTGCGATCCTTGGTCTGGGCAGCTGGGGATGAAGACTTGGCCAGGCGCATCAAGTCCATGCTGGGCCGCTTCACACGGGTGTTTGACGCCGAGACTCTTTTCACCTCCGTGTTTGATGATGAGGCCTGCAGTTGGTCGCAGGTGGAAGATGACCAGGACCTCTTCCCTTCGGACCCTCAGGTGCTGAGTCCTTTGGAGGGCTCCCTACATCGTCGCAGCGCGGCAATGTTCGCCCTTTCGGCGTTCCTGGATGCAACTTCAGGCGGTGTCGCGCCGCCCTGGCTGGTCCGCCATTGCCTGAGCATTGCGCTGTCCGCGCGCGCGGCTCACGTGCGCAAAGCGTGTGACGCTGAGGAAGAACGGGTGTGGCTTGACAAATCTTGGCAATGACAACCGGCATTGCCGGTGAAGCAGAGTAGGATGAACCGAAGAAACATTCACTATCTGGGTTTGCTGGAAAGATGAGGGTTGCAGCAGAGGCCATTTGTGTGTTGAAAGGTTGAGCTCAAGGGAATTGGTGTTTTTTTCTTTCCATGTAATTACAGCTTTGATTGAGTTTCAGATCCATTCGCATATGGCGGAACTTCTGTTTTTACATTTGTGCGGCCCCCATTAGGCACTAGGCTGCAAGTCTTTTGTCCATTTTTGACCAACATGACAGCATGGCGCCCAAGGAGTTTTAACATAGGCCTGGCTTTCTATGTTACACGCACATCTCCCCCCTTTCCCTCTCTCCCTCTCTCCCTTCTCTCCCTTCTCTCCCTTCTCTCCCTTCTCTCCCTTCTCTCCCTTCTCTCCCTTCTCTCCCTTCTCTCCCTTCTCTCCCTTCTCTCCCTTCTCTCCCTTCTCTCCCTTCTCTCTTCTCTTCTCTCCCTCTCCCTCTCCCTTCTCTCCCTCTCCCTTCTCTCTCTCCCCTCTCCCTCTCTCCCTTCTCTCCCTCTCTCCCCCTTCTCTCCCTTCTCTCCCTTCTTTCCTTCTCTCCCTTCTCTCCCTCTCTCCCTCTCCCTCTCTCCCTCTCTCCCCTCTCCCTTCTCTCCCTTCTCTCCCTTCTCTCCCTTCTCTCCCTTCTCTCCCTGCTCTCCCCCTTCTCTCCCTTCTCCCCCTTCTCTCCCTTCTCTCCCTTCTCTCCCTTCTCTCCCTTCTCTCCCTTCTCTCCCTTCTCTCCCTTCTCTCCCTTCTCTCCCTTCTCTCCCTCTCTCCCTTCTCTCCCTTCTCTCCCTCTCTCTCTCCTCTCTCTCCTCTCTCTCTCTCTCTCTCTCTCTCTCTCTCTCTCTCTCTCTCTCTCTCTCTCTCTCTCTCTCTCTCTCTCTCTCTCTCTCTCCCTCCCCCTTGCTCCCTCGCTCCCTCTCTCCCTCTTTCGCTTCTCCCTCTCTCCCTCTCTCACTGTCTCCCAGTCTCCAAGTCTGCCTGTCTTTGTCTCCGTCGTCGCTGTCTCTGTTGTATCTGTCTCTTTGTCTTTATCTTTGTCTTTGTATTGGTTTTTATCTTTCTCTTTGTCTTTGTCTTTGTTTTTCTCTTTCTCTTTCTCTTTGTCTTTGTCTTTGTCTTTGTTTTTCTCTTTCTCTTTCTCTTTCTCTTTCTCTGTGTCTTTCTCTTTCTCTTTCTCTTTATTTGTCTGTCTCTCTCGTTCCCTTTCTTTCTCTCTTTCTTTCTCCCTTTATTTTTATCCTTGTTTCTCTTTGTTTCTCTTTTTCTTTCTCTCTTTCTATGTATCCTTCTTTCTCTTTTTCGCTATTTATTTGTTCTCTCTTTCTTTCTCTCCTTCTCGCTTTTTCTTTTTTCCTGTTTATTTCTCTCTTTCTCGTTTTTTCTTTTGTCTCTCTTTCTTTCTCTCTTTCTCGCTTTTTCCTTTTTTTTTTCTCTTGTTTTTCTTCTTTTTTTTTAATCTCTCTCTCTCTCTCTCTCTCGCTCTCTCTTTTCTTCATTTTTCTTTCTTTCATTTTTATTTCTTTCATGTTTTATTTCTTTCTTTCATTCATTCGTCCATTCGTTCATTCATTCATTCATTCATTCTTTCTCTGTCTCTCGCTCTCTCTCTCTCTCTCTTTCTTTCTCTCTCTCTTTCTTTCTCTCTTTCTTTTTTCTCTTTGACTCTTTCTCTCTTTCACTCTTTCTCTCTTTCACTCTTTCTCTCTTTCACTCTTTCTCTCTTTCACTCTTTCTCTTTCTTTTTCTTTTTCTCGCTTTCTCTTTCTTTTTCTTTTTCTCGCTTTCTCTCTTTCTCTTTCTTTTTGTCTTTATCTTTCTCTGGTTTTCTCTTTTGTTTCTCTTTCTCTTTCCATGTTTCTTTCCTTTTCTCTTTCTCTTCCTCCTTCTCTCTCTCCCTCTCTTGCGTCGTGTCGGTTTCCTCAGCATGCAAGATTAGTTCCTGATAGTGAAAACAACCACACAATTGTTGAGCATGCGTGACTTGCAATTTGCGGTGTTTAAGGAGTCTACCCACTGGATTATGTCAATTGAGATTTACCATGTTAACCCCGAAAACGGGTTGCTCAAAAGGGGAGGCCTCCAAATGTCAAGTGGCTCAGGCTTCACGTGCTGTGCTCCCACCAGCTGCTGGTGTCTGTCTTGCAGGCCATGGCTGCAAATGGCACAAGGATACACCAGCAGGCGCGTGGGTATTGTCCGTCAGGAGTCTGAAGATGCTTGGGTTCCATGTCTTTTGCGGGAAACTGTTGGCTTGTTCGGGCAGTGCTTGAAGCTGGGGCGCGCTAGAATTCCCAGGTCCCATACAAAAGGCCTTCTAGAACAAATGCATGCCGACCCATGACGGCTAGCTTGAGACATTTTGTGTCATGGGCCTGCAGTTGGTGGATTCGAGGCATGAACAAGCGGGCACAAGCTTGGTTCCGAGCACCGCGTGCCAATGCCGTTCCTGTTGTGAAGGTGAAGCGGGTCCTGAAACCGTTGTTGGAAGACTTGGGTGCTAGAAGCACGGCCGCATTCAGATGCGTAGAAATGCAGGCAGGCCAATGCGCCTGGGGCCGCTTCACATTTAGCACGGTTGATGTCAGCCGCATGTTTTGGATGGAGACAGGTGGTGAGGTTCCCAACAGAATTCAACAGGCGTTGAGATCTCCCTTTAGCCAAGGATCCTTTGTGATTTCCCTCGCAAGCCGCCGCCGCGTGGTTGCAGAGAGCTCTGAGGGTGTAGGTTTCGTGTCAGCGTGTCAGGTGTTCAATTTGTTTTCAAGGGCAGCCTCGGGCTTACAATTTTGTTTGCTGGGCTTCCTTTGGATAAGATGAGGGGTGTGAGATGGAATGCAGCAAGCCCTGCAAAACAGGTTGCTGGCATGTTTCGGTAGGCGCTGCCAGGCAGTCAAGTTCCTAATTTCTGATGAGGTGTGTTCAACATTTGGCACTCCTTTTTGGTATTCCCTCTGAGCGGCTTCTGCGGCGGCACAGTCCAGCAAGAGGACATCTTTATGACACCTCCCCAGACCCGCGGCTTCACGATTTTTTGTTCCGTGAGGCTCCCTGATGATTCTACACCAGCTGCTGGTGGAAGAAGGCTCGCTGGCAGAGCCTGCTTGCGCTTCGCAACAGGCAGCAGCTGGGCGGCCTCAGTTGGGTGATGTAGATGCCACAATTCCAACTCATGTTGGCTGGGGCACCTCCTGTGAACAGTTCAGGTACAGGCTCCAGAGTTCATAAGGCACCGGTTGAATTTCATGTGATCCGCCATTTTGGCTCAGTGATCGCTTTTGCCGAAGAGGCGTTTAGAAAGCCTGCATGCTACGTGCGCACAAGGACATCTAGGAGGTGACCATCGCCGCTGGAAAAGAGGTGGTTACACCACTTCAGCTCTGTGTCTTGACGGCTCAAGTTCTCCACGAAAGCCTGCAACTCCAGAGCGGTATGCTTCTCCTTCGTGCCAAGGCCACCTGACTGCAAGGCATCGCCGTGCGCTGCGTCGTGCAGTGCCTTGGTGAAGTGCTGCGTCCGTCCACAGAATAAGCACCAAGTCTGAATCTGTGTTGGCGAGCAGCTGCAGGAGGCACCAGGTGAATTTCATGTGGTCCGCCATTTTGGCTTAGTGATCGCTTTTGCCGAACAGGCTTTCAGAAAGCTTGCGTGCTACGTGTGCGCAAGGACATCTAGGAGGTGACCATTGCCGCTGAAAAAAGGTGGCTCGTGAGCTGCTGAGTAGGTTGAGACAGTTTGCCAGCGAGATTGGCAGTGGACACGGGCCAGAACGTGCTGAACCTTCAGGTCTCGGCCTTCGGCACAAGTCAAAACACTGAGAGTGGCATCAGATGAGCTTCGCCTCCAGCCGGGACATCGTTGTGACTTGGGATGGGTCGCCGGAAATCTGGCAGGACTACTGCCGCAAGGCGCTCTCAAGGAGCAGAGCTGTGACGCAAACTGCACCTCAGCGCGCTGCGAAGTTGAGTTATTTGCAATCAGCACTTCCGCGTGGATCGAAAGACACTCTTCGGGAGATCAACATGTGTTGTGAAGCTCGCAGCCAGCGCCGCTTGAGTGAAAACACCACCCACGCTGAAATCAAAAAAGGAGTTCGTCTGGAAATGCAGCTTTAGCTGGCGTGATCGAAGCTTCTTTGCGCTGGTGAAGTCCTCATCATACTGAACATTCCAATGCTGGGCCGTGGTGGGGCTCTCCGGATGCGATCAGCCGCGCCAGACTTAGTTGGCCCGTCGCTTCAGCTCTGTGTCTTGACGCCTCAAGTTCTCCACCAAAGCCACCTGCCTGCAAGGCATCGCCGTGCGCTGCGTCGTACAGTGCCTTGGTGATGTCCTCGATCTGGCGAAGATTCTGCGAGCTTCCGAGCATCTCTCCCCACTGAGCACGCGCCACCATGAGTTCTTGCTCGCCGGCCGCTAAGGCTTGGGCCAGCACCCAAAGAAGAGCGCACCACCCCTTGCAAGCGTCCAGAGTTCCAGCTGATCGGAATGACGGGCCGGGGAAAGCATGTTTTGTGCGGCGCACTCAGAATAAATTTCTCGGCTGGCGAGAGCTGGCTGGTCTGTTTGCCAGTGTTACGTCCGTCCACAGAATAAGCACCAAGTCTGAATCTGTCTTGGCGAGCAGCTGCAGGAGGCAGCAGGTGAATTTCATGTGGTCCGCCATTTTGGCTTAGTGATCGCTTTTGCCGAACAGGCTTTCAGAAAGCTTGCGTGCTACGTGTGCGCAAGGACATCTAGGACTTTGGGGGCTGCTGAGTTGGTTGAGACAGTTTGCCAACGAGACCCCCGTGTGCTGTGCGTGAAGCTGGCCTTAAGGCGAACACGTCGAAATGCAAAAAAAAGGCCCAGAGATGATTGCATTTCGAACTATGAAAAGGGACGGCGCGGCTTCTGGACCAAAGGTGTTTTTGCACCGCTTTGCGAAAGCGGACCAGGTTTGGGGGCTTGGGCCATGCCAAGGTGGGCCGGCTCTTGATTGAGTATGCGGACTATTTGGTGGGGGACATCTGCTTCCAGCTGCGATTTGAGGCGACGATGGACGACTGTGACAAGCTTCCACTGCTCCTAACTGCTGTAGTCCAGCATGCCAGTGCCAACCTCAGCTTCTTCCTTGACGTTTTTTTCCTCGTTCCGGCTTGCAGATCTCTGCTTGTTTCGTTTTAGGTGTTTTCTCTGCATCTCATGTAGGCTGGGCAGAGCCAGCTGAGGGAGGAGCTGCGTCAGTCAGGGCGTGCCATATCCAAAGTTCCCAGGCCTCGAGATGACCCCGTTCCTCACCGACGTAGTGCACATGCTGCTGATGACCCGCCGGGACTCGCAGCCAGCTTGGGTGCTCCGTGTCCTTGCCTGCATGGTGCAACGCATGGCCATGGTGATTTGCGAGAGCCGCCAGGGGACCTTCCACGCACAGGCTGAACCCAGCATAGTTTCCCCTCAGAGTCGGCACAGCTGTGTTTATTTGGGAAGGAGATGTGGAGAATTTAATGTGAGTGTTGCTTTGGTGGCTGTTCAACTTGCTGGCTCTCAGCAGGGAATGAGGGAACGATCCCAATAAACCATCCCTCCCCAGGTTCGTTGCTGAACCCCCCTATCGACCGCATCTCGCACCTCAGGGCGGAGCTTCGGGCACTCCTTCGACCCGAAAAGCGCAGGACCGGCGCTCCGAGAGCTCCGCGGTGGCGGGGTTTCTGTCGGGGTGTGTGGCGTGGGAGCTGCCGCACGCCCGGCGCGATGGTTTCTTCTTGGACGATCTCGGCCGTCTTTTGGACGAGGATCCGGATCCGGAAGGGAAAGAGGACAGGCACAGCTGGGATTTTGTAAATTAGAACTATATACCACCCCACCCAAATGTCGACTTGAAAGCTTGAGGTGACACAACGGTGTTTCAAAAGGAAGGGGTGTAGGAAGCCTGGAGGAGGGAGGCTCGCAGAGCTATGCCCCCGAGCGCCGGATCGCGTCAAGCGTAGTGATGTGGGCAAGGCACTACTTACAGTCCTCGGCGTCTTCTCGCCACCTGGCCCATGTTGCAGTTGTCCACGGCTTCACGATCCTATCCACGCGTGTCAGGGACTTGCTGCCACATGTACACGACGTGTGGCAGCAAGTGATTCCATCCTTCTCAGCCGACACGCCGCTATCAGCCCAGACGGATGCTTGCGTCTTGCTGAAGCACATGGCAAGGCTCTCTGGCGACTTTATTCAGCGTCGTTTCAAGGAGGATTGCTGGCCCGGCCTGTGGGTTCGACTCAGCAAGGCGCCGGCAGCCGCTGCCGGCCTTTCGCCTGAGTTCAAGATGCAGCGTGCGGCGCTGGATTGCTTGGCATTCCTTTCCGGGGACTCCGCATTGGTCCAGGGCATTTCAAAGCACTTGATTGCCTTGGCGATCAAGTTTTTGGGGCCTGCAGTGGCGGAGAAGCTCCGGCACCTTGCATGGACCCTTCTGGAGTGCATGGTGCAAGTGGACCCCGACCTTCTCTGGATGTACTTGCCCGAGTTCCACGGGCGCTTCCCCGGGCTTCATGGCGTGCTCTTGTTGAAGGAGGTGGGGGTCATGCCCCCAGGCCTGGCGCCGGAGGATGTTGAACGGCTGCATCGCCTCATTGAGTTGGCCGACAACCAGCCGTGGCGCCCCTGCGTGGCACTGGGCACCGGCGGGGAGCTCTGGGCCGCCTTCCTGCGGGGTGAGGGCCCAAACGCCAAAGGCCCCGACTTCGAAGGCTCCGAGAGCTCAGCTGCCAGCGAGGCCGAGGGTGAGCAGCCAAAAAGGGGGTTGTGGGGCGCGCTCACGTGCGTGCCACCTAGGCCGGCGTCGGCGGTAGGAAAGGTTGCATGTTGGCAATGTTGTCTCGGCAGTGAAGCGCCAGGTTGCTATGGTTTGTATTTAGCAGGAGGTGGTAAAGCCGGAAAGGGGCTGGCAGGTGTTTCTACATCTCGGAGGCTGAGCTCAAATTCCTGCAGGTGGGGGGGGGGGGAAGGGTCAGAATTCTCAGGGAGTCACGCCCTCAACCCATCTACCCGCGCTTTCCCCATGTTCATGATTTGCAAAGCCGCTTGCCATGAGGCCAACATCCCGAGATCCAACAGCAAATCCAGCAGCTCGCCAGCAATGGGCAGACAAACTGTATTGATTTTTTCTGAACTGGCCTGGGCCTAGAGTTCAACGTGGACCCCAAGAATCCGCCGTTAGACACTCGATCAGACCCCAGAGAAGCTCCTTCTGGTGCTTAGCAGCAACAGTTGGCAGTTTGAATTGAATGGATGGCCACTGCAGAGGCGAGAGCGATGGCCTGAGCCTCGGGAGGTGAGCGAGATTGTGGTGCCCGCAAGCCGCCGCAAGCGGCATCATCATATCCCCAAGTCATCCCAAGTCCAGGAGCAACAAGAAAGGTCCGATTCGGTCCGCTCCCAAAATGAGAGGTTCATTTTTTGTGTTTGTTCTTGTGTGTGTGTGTGTGCGTGTGTTTCTCTGTGTGGTGCGTGTGCGGGAGGGTGTGGTGTGTAGGAGCCTCCTCTTGCTTGCAGAGGTTCTTCTGGGCTCTTGGGCATGCCGCTGGCCGTGGCTTTGCACCCTGGCCTTTGGGCGGTCTTCTTCGTCCGCTGCCTAACTTTTGCTTTCGCGCGTGCGCTCGGGTGGCTGAAACCCCGTCTTCAGCAGTACCCTCAAAATTGTGGCTTAAAGAGGAACACCTCTTGACGGGACCCAGCTGAAGGGAGATGTGGCGGACTGGGCAGATGTGGCAGATGTGTCGCCGAGGCCCATATTGCGTTCAACTACGGGGCGTGCGGCCGTGAGATGGGACCCCCGAGTCACCCAACCTGGTCAAATTGTGGTCATGGGGGATGGTGCCTTTGAAGTTCGGGCTGCTTGATTGGCGGACCAGGCAGATTGGCGGGGTTTCCCGGGCCTGCAGGTACTACTTGACCAACTGGAGCTGGTGCCCTGGAGCCTGCCATCAGGGTGCATGAGGCAGTTGCAGTTCACCACCAGCTATGCCACTCCCATAGTTGCCTATATTGGGGATGTCGGACAGGGAGTCCTGCAATGAAAAGATTTGTCTGGGTGGCTGACATGGCCCTGGCGTGGCGCAAGCGCCTAAGGTCCTACATACTACAGCGAGGTTCTCAAGATGACACCTCAGGAGGCCAGACTCAGGGCTGTTTCTTCCATCGGTTGCGATCCCGTAGTAGCTGTCCCGAACGCTGGCCTTGAAGAGGCTTTGAGGTTTGTATGCAAGATTGTGGGCACAAAAGGTGACCTGACTCTTGCCCAGTTCGGGTACTGTAGACTGTTTTGCCACATGCCGTCCTCTCTCAAGTGGGCCTTCTGCTGCTGCCAGCCGGTGTGTTTTGTGTGGCTCGCCGTTATAGTTCGCGGTGAGGCCAAGTACCACTTGATGGTCCCGCACGTCACCAACCTGCTGATCAAGTCCTTGCCTGGCGCCCAGAAAAGCTGCCTGCGTGAAGTGGTGCTTGTAGCGCGTACTTTGGCTCCAGGAATCCCATGCTCGTGAAAGCCGTGGAGAGGCAGGTGCCTGTGCGCGGCAGCCAGGAGGAAGCCCAAGAACATCAAACGCCTTCCCAAGAGCGGTGAAAAGAAAGTGCTCGAGCCCGAAGAAGCGCAAGCAAATGGCGCAAATAAACTGAGTAAGAGCATCATGTTTGTTTTGTGTTGCCTCACAGGCATCACTAGTTTCAATGCCAGCAATGTCAATGCACGCAATGTGCGTCGCTCCGTGCCTTCGACACAGCAAGCTGTTGCCGTGTGCTCCTGTGTCTCGATGAGTCAAATTCCTTTGCGTGGGGGTGATGTTTAGAGGTTTGCCACATTGGGAGGATTTAGGTGGGACCATGACACGGCCACCAACTTAGCCAAAAGTTCTGAAACAGTTCAAATAGCACAGGCCCCCCACATATCATCTTTCTACGCTAGTGACAGGGCCTTTGAACTTTTATCGCATTGCCAGACTTTGGTGCCCATGTTCCACCCACGTTCCACCCTTTTTTTCCCTTTGCTTTCCCCCCACCCCTTTGCCACTTCACCCTCGACACGTGAGACGGCAGGTGGGGCCTGGAGCTGAGGGCGGTGAGGTGCTTCTTCACCGCCTCCGGCTTCTTGCTGGCCGGTGCGTGCCTGCTGCCCGCGCGGGCGCCTGGGCTCGGGATCAAGTGGCGCTGAGACCGGAGGCCAGCATCCCCAGTGGGAGCCCGTACTTGCAACATTTTGCAACAGCTGCTCAAACCACTGCGGGCATCGCGAGCGATCGACATTCCCAGATGACGCTGCGACGCCAGGAGCCTCTGAAGCGCCCCGCGGCGAAGGCCGTGGCAAAAGCGAAGGCGAAGGCGGCTCCTGCACCGGGCCTGACCAGCAAGAGGTGTGTGACCATCTTGCAGCGGGTCCAGAAGGCCGCGTCGATGCCGAAGGAGGTGCTGCTGCAGCTGCGCCAGGCCTTGAAGTGCGCCAAGAGCGGCAAGAAGGGGGACCTCCCGAAAGCCACGGCGCTGCTTGGCGGCGTCATGGCCAAGGCTGTGAGGGCCTTCGAGGAGGAGCTGGCAACCGCCCGGGAGAGCTTGGAGAAGGCCAAAGAGGAGCACCAAACCTTGGAGTCGCAGCAGGCCGACGCAGAGGCGCAGCTGAAGTCGGCCAAGAAGGCGATTGTGGACTTCAAGGTGAAACTCAAGGACTCCCAGCGATTCATCTCAGAGGAGACCAAGGCACTCACCAATGCTTCCGCAGAGCGCAAGAGCGCCTTGCAGGACGTGAAGCTGGCGGAGAAGGACTGCTGTCACTTGCAGCAGGTCCAGGAGAAGAGTTACAAGCCTCTGCGCGAGGCCGAGGTGTCAGCGCCAACCGCACCCTCGCGGAAGCAGATCAACAGCCTCTGCAAGGCTGCAAAGAAGGTGGGCTTCCACCGCGAGCTGCTGAGCGTCGCCCCGGCGGTGCTGAAGAAGGAGCTCACGAAGCGCCAGACCTTCGACCAGTTGGTGCTGCGTGCCCTGGACGCCGAGTTCTCCAAGCGATCCCAGGCGCTGCAGAGCAAGCTGGAGGAGAACCAGCAGAGCCTGGAGCAGCAGGACCAGGCGATGGAGGAGAAACGCCAGGCGCTGGCGGCGGCCAAGGATTCGGTGAAGCACACGGCGCGGATGATCGTAGAGGCGGAAGCGCAGGCGGAGTCCAGCAAGCGGTCGGTGCAGCTGGCGGTGAAGCAGGCGAAGAGAGTGCCGCAGATGGTGAAGCAGCAGGCCCGGAAGTTCGAGGCGGTTCGGTCCAAGTACAACAAGTTCCGCGCGGGCCCTCTTGCGACCTATCTGACCTACCGGCCCGGGAAGCATGTGAAGCATGATAGTGACGAGGAAGCCACTCAAAGGGCGTGAGGTGGAGGTTGCTGGACTGTGAGCTTTTATCGCGTCCCGGTGAGTTTTCTTGTACAGAACTCCCCTTGTGCAGGCAGAAACTCGGGGCAGAGCTTGTGGGAACCTGCAACCTTTGCCCCTTGCAGCACAGAGGTGTGGCCGGGCCAAAATGCAGTTCTTGCGGCTTCTCGCCCGGAAGAGTTGCGGGGGTTGCTGTCGAGGATGCCACCTGGCAAATGGTATCTGTTTTTTGACCCCGGCTTTTAGGGTTTGGGGTTTCAAAAAGTTTCAAGCTTGTAGGATTCTGTGGATTGTGGGGTTTCTAGGTGTTCGGGTTTGAGGGTGTAGGCTTCTGCTTTAGAGTCCAAGAGCCCTGATCGCCCTGAACAACCTTTTGAGGGGGAAGCGCTCCCATACCAGGTGTCCATTTCTGCGCTCAGGTCCACATGCTGCGGGGACAGAGCCCGTGGGGAAGCTCGGAAGTTGAACTTTTGGAACAATGCGGATCTGTCTTTTTTTTTGGGGGGGGGGGGTGCTCAAAATGGATGGGTGTTCCTTTTGGATTCCTCTAATGCACAATCATTTGCTGCCGGAAAAGGGATGACGATGGCCCATACTCACCAAATGACAACTCGAAGGTCGCAACGTGGGGATTGCACACTGAATTCGCTCATGTCATGCAAGGGCTCATTGAATATCGCTCAGCCACAAGTTGGCCGATTAGTGATTAGCAGGGTATTAATCCCCAAAAGCGATCCAGCTTCCCAAACAAGGGGCCCTTGGCAAGATCTGCCCGGCTCTGCCCCCATGTGGATTCACTTATTGTTTGCCTAGAGCCTCACATGGATGCTTCTAAAGTCAGGGGGGGCCATGTGGAGGGTGTGTCATCCTTGTCCTCTGTTGAACGCAAGCTGATCCAAACGGTCGTGGCTGACCCCCGTAATGGAGTTGCAGCATCCACATGGAATGTGTTCTGCTTTTGTTTTGGCGCCCAGCGAGCCTTTTGACCACTTTGAGTCGGCTTTTGACACCATCAAAAGGCAAACGTTCCATCTCTTACTTTTCTCCACCCGCTAGGCGCACAGAGGGTTCCTCAAAGCGAACCATCACTGCGGCCCTCTTCCAAAAGATTGGAGCTTCTTTTGGTGAGGCTCCAAGTGGCTAAGCGTGGGTTGTTTTTGTGCGGTTGGATTTCACTCGTCTGAGCAGGTTTTGGAACCAAAGGGAGCTGAGGGTTTAACTGGTGCCTTTCCTGCGATTATTTGCTCCTTTTTGTGAACTTTCGGCAGTTTGCGCAGATTGGAGCCATCCAGAGACATCTTCAGGGCATTCGCTCAAACCCTTCTTGTTTTGTGGATGTTGGGGCAATTCTCAAGTTGGCGGTGTTTCTTAGAGTCACTTGTGCAGATGCAGGTGGGTCTCCACGATGCTCTTCAGTGCGGCCAACGCCTTCTTCGGCCTGGCACCCTGTGGCTTCAAGGCCGGGACGGACGTGGCCTCTCGAGGCCACTTGCAGGGCCTTCCCGGGTGACGGGAGCCCTGAAGGTTCATCGTGTTTGCCTGGAAAATGGGGCGGGGCCGACTAAAGTCATGGGCAAATGCCTTTGTTCTTCGCTTGAAGGGGCTTGCCCAACATGAGTTGTCACAGTTTGTGAAGCATTTGTGAACCGTTTCTATTCAAGGCTTTCTTGCAGTACCAAACGCCGAGCACGTTACTTAAATGGAGCTGGTCGTAGCGGCATCTGCTTCTAAGCCCTTCCTCCTGGATGAAAGGCTGGGCTCATTTTTCAAACATTAGGGGGGGCTTTGCGCTCAGTCTTGGTCGGCCCTGGTCGTCTCGACTTGGTGCGAGTCTGGCAGATTAGCTGGATGTTGCTTCTGCTGGCTACTTCATGAATACGGGCTAGAATCCTTCCCTGTTAGAACCGTTGCGAGTGGCTAGGGCCATTTGCCACTTGGCCGGGTGAAGTTCCACGAGCGTGGCTGCGCAGCAGGCAAATTACCTGGACATCACGGAGACGTACGTTGGGGCCAGGGATCCTCAAGGGGTGCGCGGGCACGGGATGTGGGGCTTGCCTCACATCTTGGCCCGAGCTGCTTTTCGGAGAGGGATCACTTTCTTTGTGTAGGAGAAACAAGGGAATGACCCCTGGGGAATAAAGCGGCTCTTGCTGGGGGCAAAGATGAATGGGCTTCCTTCTTCAGTGCATTCAGCCTAGTTCCTGACACTCATCACAGCAGTCCGACGTCCAACAGTCGAACATGACGTCAGGTCATCAGCGGATACGGGAACACTCTGGGAACGGTGGCTTCTTGGGTAGGGCGCTTGGTTGCTGCGGCATTGTCAGATCAGATTTGGTTGCAGGCTCCCGGCCATTGAGGGGATTGCCTGGGGGAAGTCTACCGTGGGCAATTGCCTGCTTTGGACGGGGCATAATTACGCCTGGTTTTCACCGTTGTGCTGCTTTCTGCGAGCTGAGCAGGAGCTCGATTGTCACAAGGTTGGCCCACAATTCGTGGCGCTGCTTCTCCAACACTTCCAGAGTCTCCTCCTCAGCGTGTCGTTTCAAGGTGTTTGCAGCGTTTCCTGGCGCGTCGGCTAGGCTGGGACATCGTCCTATGCTCGGTGTGCCTCGTGAACTTTATGGCCTCTGTAAACTATGCCGTCGCCTCGGGCCATTCGGACGTTACGCCATGCGAATGTTTTTCTTCTTCCCCCTTTCTCTCAGAGGGAAGCTTCTTCGACGGGTCTCTCACTGCTTTTCAGCAGGGCAACTCGTGCATTGCGGCGGAACTCTTGAGTGCCGCCTACGACTAGTACCCGCTTCTGATAAGCTTCTGTCGGTGGGCATGTTAGAGTGCGGATGTGCCCAAATGGTTGCATCAACCTGGGATCAATACACATTCGGTTGATTGATGAGGAGGCGGACCCATTTTGTTTCTTCAGCTGTTTCTTGATGTACTTGTTCATTCTATTTGTGGGGGGGGGGGCGTCAACATCCTTTGGCATATGGCGCCAGATCCAATACACAGCGACACGGACCAAAACCGGCCGGCGCAGGTGAGGGCAGCACAGGTGAAACCTTTGGAGAAGTTGGTGGCAGAGAAGCAGGCGAGGCATTCGAGCCGCAGGGGTTCCTTATATTCCAGAATGAGTGCTTTTTTGAACACCACTTGAACTACCCCAAAAGAGGTACCCTCAATAAAAGACAAACCCATACCTGGGCCCTCCGGGTGTGCAAAATGTCCGCCGTTTGGCGAAAAAGCAATCATTTCCGTTGTTTCGTTCAAAAAGCGCTTTTTGACCCAACAACTATTCTTTTCAAGATTGCCGCGAAGCGTGTCAGAAACAACGCCTTTTGGCCGGGTAAGAGCACTTTTTGACCGGGGAAAATGCTTTTCCAGCACAAGCCCAATCAAGCAAAACATGCATCACTGGGAAAAGCCCGCATCTAGCAAAAGCGCTTTTTCAGCCAAAAAGCACTTTGTCTTGAAAGAGCAAAGGAAGAACACACCGTGGAGGATGCAGGTATGTCTCCTTTGAACATCACACTGCCCAACAGAAGCTCAATGAACATTAGCCGCACCAGCAGACGTTTAAACTACCGCCCGGACGAACAACAGCACATATATGAGTATTCGTGGCAAAATAGGAGGCTCCAAAAACGATGGTGTTCCTTTCGATTTCTGCTTGAGACAACCCTGAAGCATTTGTCCTCAACAATGAGTCCCCGTTTGGTCCGGCAGGACTGTTGGATCTTCCCAATGCTTGTGGTTTGT